TCATGTATACTAGTAACATCGAGTACATAGTCTCGGAAAATATTAGTCCAACAAAGGAATACTAGTAACATCGAGTACATAGTCTCGGAAAATATTAGTCCAACAAAGGAGGAATAAAAGGAGAACACACACTATCAAATAGGCAAGTCAATTTCATTTTAAAATTTATATTTTATGACATATTTTTACTATAATATACATTACTATAAATATACATTTATACTATATAATTAAAGTTTATACTGACCGTTGCGAGATTTGGCCGCCTGTGTGCATCCAAGCGTCGCTAATTAATGAATGGTAACACATAGCAACGTATATAACGACCGCGTCTTTCCCACTCGCGCGATTTGCCTAACCCGCCCGCCTGATTAGTGTACAAATATGTTGTACATTAATTTAAAAATTAAACGAGACTTACCTGTAAGGTGAAGTTTGATTTAAATTCTACAAGTCATCAGCGGGGAGTGGAGGAGTTGTACGAGAGAGCATACGCATGCGCGAGATAGTCAGATTTCAAAGTCAAACCTGAATCCATGGTTGGAGTGGAAGAGTTGGGGTGGGAATAAAAAACAAAGAAGGGTTGGGCGTACAACTCCTCCACTCCCCGCTGATGACTTGTAAAATTTAAATCAAACTTCACCTTACAGGTAAGTCTCGTTTAATTTTTAAATTCTACTACGTCATCAGCTAGGGTCGTGTCAGAGTTGTACGAGATTTCACAGGGAACGATGGAGTCAGGTTTTATGTTACAGAGTAACAAACACAACAAAAATTAAGCGCAACAATTATTGTACATAACAGTAACTTATACATAATAACAAAGGTGCCTTAATTACTTGCACTAGAGTTCAAAATAGCAGATCCCAGATTAAAGGGAGACCGAATAGGCTTATTATAAAAAGTTTGAAACGTGGTGGCATTAGACCAACCAACTGATTCAAGTATCTGAGTTATATCCCCTCATTTATGTGCAGCATATGACGTAGATGCAGATCGGGTACTATGACTTCCGAATTCTTTTGTGTTAATACCCGCAGAGGATAGTAATGTTTTGCACCAACGTGAGATGGTTTCGCGTGACACTCCATGGTGAGACTTGGTGAAGCTGATCAAGAGCTTGTTGCAATGAGGGCTTCGTAATGTTTTTGTCCGTTCGAGATACTCCTTGAGGTGTGTTATAATGCACAGGGATTGTTCATCTGGATACGCTTCAAACATAATAGGTACTATATGGTGCCCACCTGCGTTTGTTTAACCTTTTCTCGAATAACAAATTCTCATTTATCTATAGATAAATACATGTTGTCCAGATTTAGAAGGTGGATTGTTTGACATTGATGCCCGCTGAGAAGTAACAGTAGAAATGTTACTTGGATAGTAAGGTCTTTTAATGTCAGTTCGTGTACTATCGGTTGATTTCTCAAATGATTAAAAACAATATTAACATCCCAAATAGATTTGTATCGTACGTGGGAAGGAAGGTCTTAGTTCGAAAATACCCTTCATGAAGCGTTTTACCAGAGGGTGTTGACCAAAAGGAATTGTGTTATTGTTGGTTTGACAAAGTGCAGACAGGGCACTGCGTGCAGAATTTATGGCTGAGTAAGACAAAACCTGAATGAAATAGATCTGTTAGAAAATCCACAATTTTAGTGATTTGAGGGTCAAAAAAGTCACAATTTGAGGTACGACAAAATTGGCTCCATTTGTTAATGTATGTTTGATATTGAGATTTGGTCCCTTTTCGCCAAGATGCCATAATGATTTCAGCTGATTTCTGTGAGACACCTATTGTGGTGAGTTGTTGCCTGATACAAGACATACGTGGATGTGACTCTGCTGAAGCTGCTGGAAGTTGAAGGAGTGTCTGCGATGGTAGGCAGACCTGAGGAGGTTGCATTAGAAGGGGTGCAATGAGAGGGTACCAGGCTTGTGTTGGCCAGTTTTGGATTACCAGGATGCCTGTGGCTTTTTCCTGTATAATCTTTTGAACTGTTTGCAAAATGCAGCTAAATCGGAGAAAACAGTAGAAATTTAGCGTGCTCCAAGAAATAGAGAAAGCATCAATATGCACTGTGTCTGGGTCAGGCCGATATGAGCAGTACTTGGGGAACTGCTTGTTTATGCGGGATGCAAATAAATCAATTTCTGATTTTAAAGGCAAATCTTTTTATTGCTGTTTGGAGGTGACATGGATTTAACATCCATTCAGCTTCACGATAAATATGGCAAGATTCTTTGGCGGCAATGGTGTTATCTGACCCAGGTAAATGAGCTACGGTAAGTTTCAATTTGTTAGTCATGCAAAATTCCCAAATTTCAACGGCAATTCTATTCAGCACCTCATTGTGGCTAGTGCCCATGTTAGTAATTACGAACACTGCAATACTGTTGTCCAGCATAAGTTTAACATGTTTGCCTGTTAGTTTTAAGACAAATGATTTTAGAGCAAAATAAGCTGCTTTCATTTCAAGTACGTACATTTATATGGAGTTCAGTCTCCTGTTGGCACCAGTTTCCACCTGTGGATTGTTCCCCCAGGGCTGCACCCCAACCGGTCATAGAGGCGTCTGAGTAAAGGTCCATGTCAATTGGGGTTAGGAGAAAGTTTTTGCGAGAATTCTTTAGGTTTTTTAACCACCAATTTAATTCAGCCTTCCCTTGGTGGGAAATGGTCATGGAGGCCTCAAAATTACCCTTATGCGCCGATAAGGCTGTGCTTTTATTTTTTTTCAAGACAACGGTAATATAACGGGCCAAATTCAACTGCTGGAAACCTGGCTACCATATGGCCAATGACCTGGGCAACCATTCTGATTTTAACACAGAATGTTTGTAATAAGAACAGTTACTTTGGCTATCTTTTCCTCGGTAAGGCGGATAGTCATTTCATGAGAATTTAGCAAAAAACCAAGAAAGGTTATTTCTTGACAAGGAATAAACACCGATTTCGAAGGGTGAATGACAAACCCTAATTTTTCTAGCAGAATTAATGTCTCAATGACAGTATTTACACACTGCTCATATAAATGATCAACCAAGAATAAGTCATCAATGTAAATGATGATAATGTGACCTTTCACACGTAGGGTAGCTAAAACTGGCTTAAAGAGTTTTGTAAAATTTCTTGGGCAGGATGAGAGGCCATTCGGGAAAACAGTGAATTTAAGTAAAGTACCTTTGTGCGAAAATTTTAAAAACTTTTGAGAATCAGGATGGATAGGTACACTATATATAGTACGCACCTTTCAAGTCTAGTGAGGCCATCCAACAATCTCTTGGGATGAGTTTAAGAGCTGTGTGAATATTATCCATTTTGAAATGGTATTAGTTCTCTACAGACTCATTGAGTTTCTTGAGATTTAAAATAAGTCTGATATTGCCATCCTTTTTAGGAGTGGTGAAAATAGGTGAAACAAATTCAATTAAGTCGGAGTCACAAGGGACAATGACTTGTTTATCTAATAAATCCTGGATAGCATCCTTTATCTTGTCTGCTTCAGCATGGGGAAGGGAATTTAGAGGAGACTGGTGTTGAACAGGGCAAATGGCATTAAATGAAATTTGAGCCCCTGAAACCATTGCTAAAATGTCAGGGTCAGTGGTGAGTTTTTCCCATTCTCTTCGAAATTTGACCTGCCTGGAAAGAGGTAACCTTTTTGATTAAGTAAGGGATTAATGTGTTGTTAACAAATTCTTTAAATATATTTACCTTTTGTTTTAACGGTCTAATTCTTTTTTAATTGTTTCCGATTCTGGTAATTTTGATGTCTCCTGGGAAGGAAATGTGCCCTCCCTCTCTGGGATAAAAAAGGCCTGCTGGTCTGTAGTGGATATGGTGAAAACCTTTTGGTTTGATAACTTTGGCTTGATTGCCCAGCAAACTAAGTAGTTAAGCTAGCGACAGCTTTGCTTGAATTTCGAACATCCTGAGCCGTTTTGGCTAAATCTTCACCAAACAATAAAGGGCCAACTTTGTGGCTCCTTGAGCACAATGGCTTAAAGTCAGGGTGAAGGATAGGACGTATAGCGTGTTTGCGCTTATAGGAAATTTCGTTCCATAGATGGCCAAATAAGGCCGTTGTGTCCAGCATTTGCGGAATGATGGCTTTGTAGTCGGGAATAGTTTTCGTTTCCCGGCATTCTAATAGCGTGTTCATAGACGTGGCCAAACTAGACAATCCTTTTATAATAGTATCTTGTAAGTTTGCCAGTTTAATGTCCGATTTTTTGGCGTATGGCTTGAGTTTCTGCCATATTTCCGGATTAACTTTAGGCACATATATTTCCTCACAATTTTGTGGCCTTTGATATCTGCTTAAAATTTCCTTCAGTTTTGTAATATCAAGTTCGTTCGCTAACTTTGAGTTTATTATTTTGGCAAGATGCTCTGAAATTGGAGGGCCAGTTTGCTCTGTAGATGATAAATTTAGTGCAATATTTGAGAGGAGAATGTCATTATCGAGGTCATCAATCTCGTCCGCGAATTCTGGCCCTCCAAACAAACTCAATGCATCGGCATGTTTATCGTGCTCTGCCTTGGGAGGATCTTCGCACACTTCTGTATCGTGGTCAGAACTTTGTTGAGCTATACATGGACGGTCATTGCCATCAGAATCTAGCCCAGACTTTGGGGCGGTTTTGGCTCGCTTTGGAGCAGATAGTTCGTCATTTTCGGCTTCGTGTAGATCGACGTGTCAATAGCACGAGGCCGTTTCTCAGCGGCCTGCTTTTCGTTAAATATACGTTCAAGGAACATATTTTGTCTATCCATGCTGTAGAAACTTTATATTATGACACTTTAAATTGTATCAAGTTACATGTTTATTGTCATTGGTTAATCAGGTCACATGATCAGACCACATGGACAAGTTTATCTATGATTAGTAGGCAAAGGGTTGCCGAGTATGGACGTTATGTAAATATATTGAATAAAAAACCTATATAAAAAGTTGGATTAGTTCTGCTTTTTACATGGAGCCCGATAGGGGACACTAGAACGGTAGTGGAAAAGAGATCGGCGGTTGACAAAGGTGCGTTTAGTCGTCGACAGTGAATACAATTAGTGACTCTGAGTGTCTTCGGAACGTGTCGGTGGACTCGCGTTGTGACATTTCAGTCTTCGGAGGTAAAATTTAATGTTTCTCTTTTACGTTTCTATATTATAAAAGGTTCTTTCGCATTAGAATACCTTCCGGTTTGTTTTATCTGAGTTTAAACGAATTTCTATCCTTGTGTAACGGCAAAATTGGAATCTAACTTTGCGGGTTGAGCGTCATAGTTGTGTATTGTCTCGTACTGTGATTTGATTGTCTTGTATGTAAATATGACGGAAAAATTGGCTAGAGCTAAAGGTAGACACATCGGCCTTGGAACTTACTTAAAAGGTCTAACGAGCGAACTTAACGAGTATATTTCTTCTGGGAGTTGCGAGCAAGTAAAGCTTCTTGGGTTAAAAAGCACGCTCTTGAAAAATGTCGAACAATATAGTATTGTGCATGAAGAAATCTTATCCTTGATTGACACTGAGAGCGTAGGGACGGAAGTAATTAGTCACATGAAAAGTCTAGAGCCAAGTTATCAGGTTTTAGCCAGGACAGATTTAGAACTTGAAAAAATTAAATGCGATCAAACCAATAGCACTGCAACTTATTCAGCATGGAGTGTAGGTGGTAATAATACTGTAAGCTCTCAGATAACTCTTCCCCAATTTACAGGTGATCCTCTTGCATGGCAGGGGTTCTGGGATCAGTATCAGGTTTCGGTTCACAATAATGTTAGTATTAGTGATATTGACAAGTTCAATTATTTGAAGGGGTGTCTTAAAGGCGAGGCTGGGGCTGCTATATCAGGGTTATCCTTAAGTTCGGAAAACTATAAGGAAGCTGTAAGTATTTTAAAGGATAGGTTTGGAAATGAGCAAGTTTTAATTTCGGCTCATATGGAATCCTTGTTGAAAATTGACAAGATTAGGTCTGTAGGTAACATTAAAGGGTTAAGAATGCTGTATACTCATGTTGCAAATTGTATTAGGAATTTGAAATCACTTAAGCTCGATACCAGTGGATATGGTTCACTTTTAATTCCCATATTAAAGGACAGACTGCCTGATGAGATTAATATGATAATTTCTCGACAATTTTGTGGCAAAGTCTGGAACTTAGATGAAGTGATGGAGTATTTTAGCAATGAACTTAGAGCCCAAGAAAATTGTAGTCTCTCAATGATTAACAAATCCAAACCATTTAGGAAAAGGGATAATGGCTACACAGCAAGTGGATTGCTAAGCCATAACAGTAACCCTGCATGTTTATATTGTAATGAAGAAGGCCATTATGCGTCGAAGTGCAGTAATATAACAAATCACCAATCTAGGAAGGCCATCTTGCGTAGAAATAGGAGATGTTTTATTTGTCTAGATACAGGGCATGTAGCTAAGCATTGTAAATCGGGTTATGTATGCAAACGATGTAAGAAGGGTAAGCATCACAACTCAATATGCGAATCTGGTTCTGACGGAAGGAATATAGAACCTAAGGGTACTGGGAATAATGATAACAAAGACGACAAACATAATGATATTAATGGGTTTGTAGGCAATAGCTGACATATGCCCCGCAGGTACCACAGAGGTTAAGAATTGCACTAGGATTTTGTTTGACAGCGGTAGTCAACGATCGTATATTTCTGAAAAGGTTAGGACTAGGTTGCAATTAAAAACTCTTAGAAGGGAAAAGGTTATTATAAAGATATTCGGACAAACTAGTGATAGCGAGGTACAACAACTTGATGTCATACAATTGAACATAAAGAATAAGTTTGATAATGGGTTCACACTAATTGAAGCGTTATGTGTTCCCACAATATGTAGCCCATTGACAAATCAACACATAGCTATCACAAGAAAATTAGAGGAGTTTAAGGATTTAAAATTTGCTGAGTGCATTAGTGACTCAACAACCCTACCAGTAGGAATTTTAATAGGCATTGACTTTTACCATGCATTCATGACTGGAAAGATCATTAGAAGTAAGGATGGACCTATTGCTTGTGGGACTAAGTTAGGTTGGGTAATTAGCGGTCGACTTGGTTCAGGTTCACCCAACCTGCATTGTTTTGAAACATATTTGTTGCGCACTGCAGTTGAAGAAGTAGATTTAACAGATATTTTGAGAAATGATCTGGATAAATTTTGGGCAGTTGAGAACATTGGCTCAGACAGTGACCAAGTTGTCAGTGATTTTAGGAATAACATTATCCATGATGGAACAAGATATGTGACAAAGTTACCTTTTAAGCTAGACCATGAGCCATTACCAGATAATTTTGCAGTAAGTGAAGGACGTTTAAAGTCATTGAAAGGTAGATTAGTGTCTAAAGGTATACTTAATGATTATGACAAAATCTTCAAAGATTATGAACAGAATGGCATTATTGAGCAAGTTCCTGCCAATGAAGTTGCAGGACAAGTAGGTCAGGTCCATTATCTCCCTCATAGACCAGTAATTCGTGAGGATAAGGAAACCACTAAGATCCGCGCAGTGTTTGATGCTTCTTGTAAAGTTAATGGTCCCTCACTTAATGAATGTCTCTACTCAGGACCAAACCTTCTTGCTAGAATTTTTGACATTCTTATAAGATTTCGACTAAATAGAATTGGGATGATATCATTCCACCAGATATTGCGTTGGTTTGGGACAAATTTTTAGAGGAATTAAAAGGTCTCCAGGAAATAAGGCAACATCGGTATGTTTTCGATTTAGATTTTCCTTCGAAAAATCGAATTGAACTTCACGGGTTTTCTGATAGCTCCAAAGAGCTTTATTGTGCAGTTGTCTACCTTCGGCTTATTAGCAATGATGGGGTGAAACTGTCTTTTCTCGCTTCGAAAACTAAAGTTGCCCCTCTTAAAACCCTTACTATTCCTAGATTAGAGGAAAGGAAAAGAGTTGGGAACCTTGGGTTGAGAATAGAGTTGTTTCTATTAGAAATGTTGTGGATCGTGATAGTTGGAGGTTTGTTAAGGGAGAGGTTAATCCTGCTGACGTGCCCACACGAATATCTTCCAACCTGCATGAATATTTTGCGGGATGTTGGTTTTCTGGTCCTTCTTTTCTCCTGTCACAACATTTTGAGTCCAGTGGGAAGGACATTAGTACAGATGGTACAAATGGAAATTCAGTTGATGAGTTGAGTGTTAAGATAGGTAATATTTCCGAAGGCTCTTGTATGAATAATACGACACAGAACGACACTCCAGATCACGCGTGTTCATTAAATACTGTCATTGACTGCACCAGGTACAGCTCGCTTAAAAAACTTATCGTGACCACTGGTTATGTGATGAGATTCATCAACAACTTACGTAAGCGAGTGAAGAAACAGTCAGGCGTAATCACGGACGATGTCCTAAAGGTCGATGAATACGAGATAGCGTTGTCAATGTGGATTAAAGATGAACAACTAGTCATTAAGAGACAGTCTAATTTCCGTAATCTCCGCGCCTCGTTGAATCTTTTCGAAGACAAAAACGGATCACTACGGTTAAAAGGACGATTTGCAAATTCCTCATTGAAATACGAAGAGCAACATCCTGTTTTAATTCGGTGTAAGGACAGTCATTTTACTCGGTTGGTTATCTGGGATGCACATGAATCAACGATGCATCATGGAGTCGAGTCAACGTTAGCGAGAGTACGAGCCAGATACTGGATCGTCAAAGGAAGAAAAAGCGTCAAGGACATTCTACGGAAGTGTGTCTTGTGCAAACGATATCAGGGTAAACCTTTGCGCGGCCCTGAAAGTCCAGATTTTCCAGAATTCAGAATAGACCATTCGGGATTTGCATTCCAAGCGACTGGCTTGGACTTCGCCGGTCCATTGTACGTGAAGAACAACTCGGGAACTGATAAAGTGTGCATTCTTCTGCTAACTTGTGCTTCTAGTCGAGCCATTCATTTAGAACTTGTGAAGGATATGTCGGTCGAAGGGTTTCTACGAGGATTCAAACGGTTTATAGCTCGTCGAGGTGTTCCTGAAGTAATAATCAATGATAACTTCAAGACTTTCAAGTCGAGAGAAGTAAAGCGGTTCATGCTAGGACAAGGTGTAAAACAACGGTTCATTCTTCCAGCGTCGCCATGGTGGGGAGGTTTTTATGAACGTCTTGTTAGGACAGTCAAATCGTGTCTAAAGAAAACCCTAAGGAGGACTTATACAACGTTCGAAGAACTTCAAACGATTTTGTGTGACGTGGAAATTGCCATTAACTCTCGGCCATTGGCATATCTAAGCGAGGATGACCTGGATGAGCCCTTGACACCATTCCATCTGATACAGGGTCGTGGTTATGTTAGAAGAGATCTCGGTCGGAGGAATACGGATATTGTACCAAATCTTAGTCTCGGACAGTGTAAAGATCGACTTGTGCATCTGCAAAAGGTATTAAAAGATTGTTGGGTTCGGTTTCGAAGAGAGTATTTGAATGAGTTACGACAGATGAACATTTATCGAAAGAGGAAGGGTTCTACTTGTGATCTGATAATCGGAGAAGTAGTTCTCGTCAAAGACGATGAGCCAGCTCCACGAACGCAGTGGAGAATTGGGAAAGTTATACAACTTGTAACCAGTCGGGACGGCCAAGTCAGAGGTGCAATGCTAAAGGTACTTAGCAAGAGTGGGAAGCAGACAATGATCCATCGACCGCTACAGAAATTGATATCGTTTGAGATCGCAGAGAATAACGTCAACGAAGACAAGAACGTAGAACACGATGAGACAGCGGAGTCAACTGAAGGAAATGAAACACAACACGATAGTTTGAGAAGGTCGACGAGAAAGGCTGCCGTAGACGGACAAAACGCACGACGATTAAGAAACAAGTATTAGTGAACATTCGCACACCGAATTCTTTGGTGTGGGAGGATGTAGAAACTTTATATTATGACACTTTAAATTGTATCAAGTTACATGTTTATTGTCATTGGTTAATCAGGTCACATGATCAGACCACATGGACAAGTTTATCTATGATTAGTAGGCAAAGGGTTGCCGAGTACGGACGTTATGTAAATATATTGAATAAAAAACCTATATAAAAAGTTGGATTAGTTCTGCTTTTTACACATGCTAGCTTGCATGGCCGTAAGCACCGAGATAAGTTGTGGCTCGGTATCGGCGGCAGCTGTGTGCGTATCGCACTCGTGGGGCGTAGCCTCGTCCTCGGCTTGTTCGCTAGACATAATTTACATAAAAACAATACAATTTCTAACAATGGAACTTATGAATAAGTAGGGAACTTATCCGTATTTGTTCAATGTAGCTTTCTTCTTGCTTCTGGTGAGATTTTTCTTCTGGATGTAATGGATTTTAAAACGATTTTCGCAGAAGACTTCGAATGCGACGTTCGTTCACGACAAGACGTATACAACTGACTATCTCGCGCATGCGTATGCTCTCTCGTACAACTCTGACACGACCCTAGCTGATGACGTAGTAGAATTAGATGCCATTTGCGTTCTTTGCAGAGTTTAGCTAATTGTTCATTGTAAATATTTACCTTTTCAACCAGCCTAGTCCCAGTCGTTCTGAAGAAGCGCGAAAAACGTGGATGTAGTACGAGACTGGGACCTAGGTGTGACGTCACCGCTAAAGGTGCTTCAGAATGCCTAGTAGATTTCAGTATTTTGAATATGGGGGGAAATTTATATACACAAATAACCTTGTACATCCGAATATATATTCGCAAGTTGTGATCAATACTAGACCATACTGGTATACACAACTACGCTTTCTACTTGACAGGTTTAAATTAAGTAGCTGAGGAGATTGGAAATATTTGCTTGACATGACTATGTTGTCAAAACATTTTTAGTCGGAGACTCGTCATAATTTTCAAGCTTCCAGATGGCATTTAATATGGCTTTACATTTTAGTAAACACGAGTAATATTTAGCACGTTATTCCATTATGACCGTATAGTAGCAAAACGTAGCCTATTTCATTGTTCCGACAGCATTAGAGCAAAACTAATAACTTATAATTATAAACGCAAAGGAAATTTCCATAAATCAGTTCTATTTACAAATGCGGTATGCTTGGTAACCAGCCCAGGGACCACTTTTTTGAAATCAGGGACCATTTTACCCAGCCTAGTCCCAGTCGTTCTGAAGTAAACGCGAGAAAAAACTTGGTTGTGGTACAAGACTGGGACCTAGGTGTGACGTCACCGCCAAAGGTGCTTCAGAACGCCTAGCAGATTTCAGTATTTTTAATATGGCGGAAAATTTATATATAAAAATAACCTTGTAAATACGACAATGTTCGTTGATCATGTTCGATGTCTACATAACCATATTCAAACTGTATTAAAAATGTGCTCAATTAAAAAAATATATACAAATTTACAATACTGATTCTGAGCAATGGTCGTATAATCGTTGATGTTATTTATATACTCGCAAGTTGTGATCAATACTAGACCATACTGGTATACACAACTACGCTTTCTACTTGACAGGTTTAAGTAGCTGAGGAGATTGGAAATATTTGCCCGACATGACTGTGTTGTCAAAACATTTTTAGTCGGAGACTCGCCGTAATTTTCAAGCTTCTACAGTAGATAGCATTTAATATGGCTTTATATTTTAGTAAATACGAGTCATATTTAGCCCGTTATTCGATTATGACCGTATGCTAGCGAAACGTAGCCTATTCCATCGTTCCGACAGCATTAAAGCAAAACTAATAACTTATATTATAAACGCAAAGGAAATTTCCATAACATTTTCTATTTACAAATGCGGTATGCTTGGTAACCAGGCCAGGGACCACTTTTTTGAAATCAGGGACCATTTTACCCATAGATATAGGAGATCTAGATTGCTAACGCATACCTAGCGCAGGTGGGGCCTACATGATAAATCCAAGATGGCGGTACAACAGGGCAAAAAGACCATAAATTCTATTACGAAAATCAGGATTTTTGCATTTTTTGCCGTCGCATTGTTTTGAAACTTATTCGGTCAAATTTTATGGTAAAGAGAAACTTACTGCGACGATTTTGAGCATATATATGATTGAATTGGATAAAAACTCGCAAAATTATCCATCGATAAAAGTTCGTGTATAGTACTGATATAGTACTATATATGTAACTTGTACAGTTTTGCTTTAATTTTTGCTCACTATTTGCATAAAAAGCAAATTATAACAGAACATAGATGATAGACCCTCATCCAGTGCTCTCATCAGTTTACTTCTCTAACAAGCAAGGAGGGGGGGGGGGGTACATAGCAGTTCATTTTTCATAATTATGAGGACAGAGCAGATGATGATGAGAGATGCAAGTATAAAACACCATTCACAAGGCTAGATGTTAACATAGCACAGTATTTCGGGCAATAAAACACTCCAACTGACCAACTGACCACTTCACACGAACTTTTATCCATGGATAATTTTGCGATTTTTCATCCAATTCAGTCATATATATGCTCAAAATCTTCGCGGTAAGTTTCTCTTTAACATAAAATTTGACCGAATAAGTTTCAAAACAATGCGACGGCAAAGAATGCAAAAATCCTATTTTCGTAATAGAATCTATAGTCTTTTTGCCCTGTTGTACCGCCATCTTGGATTTATCATGTAGGCCCCGCCTGCGCTAGGTATGCGTTAGCAATCTAGATCTCCTATATCTATGATTTTACGCAGCCTAGTCCCAGTCGTTCTGAAGCAAGCGCGAGAAAAAACGTGGATGTAGTAAGAGACTGGGACCTAGGTGTGACGTCACCGCTAAAGGTGCTTCAGAACGCCTAGCAGATTTCAGTATTTTTAATATGGCGGAAAATTTATATATACAAATAACCTTGTAAATACGACAATGTTCGTTGATCATGTTCGATGTCTACATAACCATATTCAAACTGTATTAAAAATGTGCTCAATTAAAAAAATATATACAAATTTACAATACTGATTCTGAGCAATGGTCGTATAATCGTTGATGTTATTTATATACTCGCAAGTTGTGATCAATACTAGACCATACTGGTATACACAACTACGCTCTCTACTTGACAGGTTTAAGTAGCTGAGGAGATTGGAAATATTTGCCCGACATGACTGTGTTGTCAAAACATTTTTAGTCGGAGACTCGCCGTAATTTTCAAGCTTCTACAGTAGATAGCATTTAATATGGCTTTTTATTTTTTTTCTTGCGGTCCGAAATCATATTTTACGCTTTTCTGCAATCTGATTGGCTACGCGAGCGGTCCGTATGAGCCCGTACGGACCGCGCGAAATTTAAAGCCGTAAAGGCAATGTTTTTATTTTTGAAAATTTAAAGGCGAGCTTATTTAAGGCTACTTTTTAACATTAAAATGTCTGCAGACGACGAAGAACACAGTGAAAGTGAATTTTACATTGATAGAAACGACGTTTTAGCGCCTAGAAGAGCAGTGGAGGGCCAAATTTGTCTAACTTCACCCGAAGAGTTGGGTGAAATTCAAAGTTTTATCGAAAGGCAGCGCCCAGACAACACGAAAAAAAAAGACCATGTACGACATAAATGTTATTAATAGGTACTTTGAATCAATATACGAGACAAGAGAAATTGAAAACATACCTGCCAAAGAATTAAATGTCCAGCTCGCGAAATTTTTCATGAATGTACGCAAGAGAAATGGCAGCGTTTATGAACCCACTTCTCTCAAGGACTTCCAGAGAAGTTTGCAGAGATATTTGAACGACAAGACTTCTACAATGAATATCCTACAAGACCAGGTGTTTGCCAAATCCCGTGAAGTTCTTATAGCGAAGAAACGAGAGCTTGTCCAACAACACGCCAAAGGAAACCGACCACAAGCTTGTCGAGAGTTGACGACGGCAGAGGAAGACAAGTTCTTCGAGTTGGGTTTGTTCGGAAAACACGACCCAGAAGTTCTCCACAGGACCGTTTGGTGGGTCCTTTCTCTTCATTTCGGCTTTCGAGCGCGTGACGAGTCGAGAAAACTAACTTGGGGAGACGTATCCATCAGTAAAGACCCCGAAACAGGCAGCGAATTGTTGTTGTGGAAAGCTGAACAAGGTTCAAAGACCAGGCACGGCGACGGGCAACATCAGAGAGCCTTTTATCCCACAGCGCAAGCAACCTACAACGAACGTTGTCCTGTTCAGTTATATCGTGCATTTTCCCAGCATCGACCAGATGAAATGAAACAGCCGGACTCTTCATTCTTCCTGGCTATTAACCACCGTCGCCAGCCAGGTTCTCAGATCTGGTATAACAAAGCTCCACTCGGAAAAAACGAAATTGGCAAGTTTCTTTCGAAGGCTGCGAAAGCTGCTAAATTGCCTGGGAACATCACAAACCACTCGGTGAGAAAAACCTGTATTTCCCGTTTAATGGATGCCGATATTCCCGAGAATTATGTCACCCAACTGAGCGGTCACAATAATTTGAAAAGCCTCGATTCTTACAAATCCGCTTCGACAGCACATCAGCGAAAAATGTCGTTCGTTTTAAGTCGTTCAGGAGCCTCGTCTTCTGCCACAAACCAAGCGCCAATTCAACCAAATGCAATCACAATACAGTCTCCAACAACAGAACCTTTCCTACTCCAACCAGTCTGCAGTCGAAGGCATGTTTTCAGGGGCAACAATTCAAAAGATCGAAGGCTGTCATTTCAACTTTTTTCTCAACGCGAGCAAAAGTCCGATCAGAGCTCCAGAAGCAACTTTTGCCAAAAAAAGGCGTGTTATCTTGAGTGATGGCAGTGACTCGGACTAAATATAACCTTTTTGAGGTTTTCTGTTAGATTTGATTCCTTTATAATAAACTTCCATTGGATATTTATATATTTAAACGATTTTTTTCGCTTGAAAAATGCTTGTATTCAGAATGTTTCGTTGTTGAATTTTTTAAATAAACATGTCAGGTGACTTCCTTATTTGGCAGCTTCATTCGCGTGCGGGAGGGGAAGTTGGCGAAATTCGGCCTCGGGCCGTTTTTAAGACTGAGAGAAATATTTCTCTATACGGACCTCCAATCCGGTAAATAACATATATATATATATATATATATATATATATATATATATATATATATATATATATATATATATATATATATATATATATATATATATAGATGACAAAATACAATATTCGTATCAGCCAGTTCGACATTTATATACAACAGAATAGCTGGCTACGATCCGAGAGAAACCAATACTAAAAATGTACTAAAGTAATAAAGTTTTAATTTTCGACTGAATGTCTCAGCCTTCCTATATATATATATATATATATATATATATATATATATATATATATATATATCAATTCTGAAGAAAAAAAACATAACAATGTGGCCAACTTGAAATTATAACAAAAACAGCAATTATAACCTTAAGTATGTTAATTAGGTGCAAATTAAGTCTTGCAACTATAGGAGTAATGGTTAAGGAGAAATATGGGATTACTACACAATTATTGTGCTTTTGAAATGTGTGTAAAAATAGCCCTAATTTGTATAAACATATAAAAAAACTGCCAATATTTATATAACCATACATTGACCAGCCATTTAAATTATATATAGAGGATATTACACGAGAAGATAAAAGTCATATCTTCAAGCCACCGTATAATGTTCTGGGGCCGGTTGTACGAAAGGTGGATAAGTTATCCAGTGGATAAGTCCTATCCAATGGATAAATCTCCTATCCAATGGATAGCTATCTGCCGAATAAAAATACGTTGTACGAAGCACGGATAGCAGGGTGGATAGCTATCCGTCGGATAACCTTAATTTTAACCGGAGAAAACCGGATTTTCCTGAAATTTCTTATCTCTACGCCAGCTGTTGCTAGGTATTTGTAAACTTTTGTTGTAGTATTTTCGTATAACTTGTGAATTCCACTAACCTTTGAACTATCAACTTGCAATAAAGGTTTTTTGTTCATTTTTATATTTTGGAGTTTTTCTCGTCCAATCGTTGCAATACTTCGTTTTCCCACAGTGAAGAGTTTGCTATCTACTTATCGATATTTCTTTAAAAGATTTTTGGCTTCTTTATGCGAAGGCAATAGCAAAAACTGCGAGTTTTGTTTTCTTGTTTCAGTACGTTGATTCAGTTTTATTTTACATACTGTCCAAATATTTGTTCTTTGACCTTTCACGTCATTCAAAACAATTTTAAGAACATTTTCTCGCAAGATTTGATTGGCTGATCAAGGCCAGCGAACAAAATTTTTCGACTTTCGGTGCCTTGTTGTCTATTTATATGCAGCTATATTTGTTTGGCGTTGAAGGGAACTAATTTAATGAAAGTTTTATTACTTGTTTTCGAGCTATATAACAGAAAAAAAGAAGGAAAAACCCCAGAAAACGTAACGTCTAAGCACTGACACAGGTCTGCATAAAATATGGCAAAGTCACGGCATTATTTAATGGGCAAGTGACTCTAAGTGAGCTCGGTGTCAAGAGCAAGAGAAGTCATAAGTAAGTTTCCATGTTTATATAGTGTCAAGAAAGGGACTTCTAAACGTTATTTGTCTATTTCTATCACAATAGCAATCCTTTTTAAATGTAATACACATTGTTTTCTCTTCAAACTTTGAGTTTATCCGCCGGATAGTGGATTTAAACTACCTCCGGACCTCGGATAAATTTATCCAACGGATAGTGCATTTTATCCGTTGAATAGCGCTATCCAAGCTTCGTACAACGCGATTTTCACTCCGGATAAAATTTATCCGCTGGATAGGGACTTATCCACCGGATAGCGATTTATCCACCTTTCGTACAACCGGCCCCTGATTATTATATAGTCTCAAGTAAGTCAAAGTCATTTTTGAAAAGTCACGTGATCGATATCTTCACTAGTGAAGATATGGAAAATATCTCACTGTGTATTTTTCAGTATCTCACTCTCTACTATACAATAATACTTTTTATTTGTTATCAGTCAGAATGAAGCAATCTGATTGGCTGAGTAGCCTTTCAGTGCTGGCCAGTTTTTTCATCCGACCCGCTCTGAAACGCAACTGCTGACGGAAAAAAATGAGGAGTGAAACAATTTTTAAACGAATAAACTGCCCAAAACGTTTGAAAAAGGTAGCCTAACGATAATCAGATACGAAAATAAATTGCATCAAGCCCTGAAAACTTCATACTAAGCACGATATACACCATCAATCAGAATTGC